GTACTGTAAGATGTTTGACTATGTTTGGACTTGTACATTACACATCCTGTTTCATCCAAACTAGGAATTTTGTAACTGCATTTTTTAAATAAAATAATCATTGTTGTTATTATTATTAACATTGCTGTTAGCATCATTATTAGCATTACTATTAGCATTATTATTAGCATTATTACTGCAATGTCACCATGCTCGCACACTCAAAATGGCAGACAAATTAACATCTGAGGTTTGTCGTCATGTGTCTGCAAATGCTAAATATGATTCCTCAACATTTTTGCTCAGTCATTAACTCAGGGCCAGCTCTGTCCCCAGGTTTTCTTCTTTCCTCTGTGGCACCGTGACATCCCTACAAATCAACCACCATCGGAGACGGTCCAAGAAAGAGCACGCTGTGTTTCAAATGAGAAATGTGTGCTGTACCATCCTTAAACTGCAGCCACAACTGCTTCTGAAATCAGTATAATGCATCCTGATACATTTTCTCCTCACTCACCTGTGCTCATTCTGGTAACCTGTTCTTAGAGAGGGGTTGTTGAATTAATGTCATGAGCATGTTCAGCTCCAAGGACTGATTCATTTTTTCCCCTTCCTTTTCTTTTGTGAAACATTTTCTTCATTAATGATCTCTGAAATCATACAGAAGAGATGTTGCCACTAGAAGCAGGCAGCCCGAGCCCCCCATGAGTCCGAATTGTGATCTGAGTGATGCTTCTCTTAGCTGGTGTGAGATGACTTTGATTGTGGCACTTCCACAGCCACCTCCGCAGCTCTGTTTGGACCTGCAAACAAATGCATGGAAATAGAAATTGCAGAAAGTTACAGATGCCTAGGCTTTTGTTCACCTGTTGAGCAAAATGCAATGCTGCCATTTACCCATACCAAAAAATGTGTTTTAGGTTTTCACTCCAAAGAATAGCTCTTACCTCAGGGCAGCTATTTATGATAAATGTTTGTATGACTTTTTTTATTACACAAGCTTCCCCTCCATTTGCCTACCTCTCCATTCATGAAACAGTAAAGAAGCGCCACCACAAACCCCTGCAACATAAAAGACATCTGTTTCAAGATAAAATCATAAGAGTAAGAACTGATTGCATGTACAGTCCGCCTAAGGGAAAACAGTGACTTGTGTTGCTAACACTTAATTGCACAAAGCATCACAATAACTTCAGAGAACAAACAAGCAAAACAGGATGAAGCTGCAGGCTTTGAACAAGTCATTCGGTTGCTGATTTATTGTTGTTTGTTAATTCATTTTGTCATGTTTATGGGATACATTTTGTGCTGCATAAATGTCAACATTCCACATAGTTATAGTCTTACACATGCGCAAATATTATGGAGTGGTTATTTATGACAGTGATTATTTCAGCCAGCAAGGGCTGCCGCTCTTAGGGGTCGCCATAACAGATCATCTGCTTCCATTTCTACTAGTATCTAGTATTCCTAGTATCCTCTTCTGCCACATATTCATATGAATGTACTCTTCCTACATATGCCCAAACCATCTCAACTTTGTGTCTCTATCGCTCAAGCTGTCCTTCTGATATTCTAATTTCTAAGCGTGTCCATCCTCGTCTCTCCCAATGAAAATCTTAACATCCTCAACTTTGCCACTTTAAGGATCAGCTCCTGTGTTTTTGTCAGTGCCAACATATCCAAACCAAACATCACAGTAGGTCTCATTAACATTTTGTAAACCCTCCCTTTTACTTTGGCTGCTATCCTTCCGTCACAATCATCCCAACACCCATCTCCACCAACTCCACCCTGACTGCACTCTCCTCTTCACTTCTGCTGTGCACCCTGTATTCTGTCTTGTATCTACTGACTTTTATTCCTTTTTTAACTTGTCCATCACCACTGCACACAAGAAGGTCCTCAGAGCTGATCCCTGATGTAGTCCTACTCCCACCTTGAACTCATCTGTGTCTCCTACTGCACCTCAGTGATATACTCATACAATACCACAGTCCCTCCGAGCACACAATCATATGACTTCTCTAGATCCATGAACACACAGTGAAGCTCCTTCTGGCCTTCTCTATATTTTTCTATCAACTCTCTCAAATATCTTATCTGTAGTGTTGTCTGTGAAGGTTCTCAGTCATCCAGATCATTGCAGTCTAAGGAGCTTGGTGAGAAAAGTGTCTGGACTTTTCACCTGTCATCCGAGAAACTTCTTCAGTTCTAAGAGCAACTGGTGGAGAGTGCCAGACCCTCTTGGGGACATTCCTGTAGGGCTTAAAATCTGGGACTCTCCACCAGTTGCTCTTTGAACTGAAGAAGCTTCTTAGATGAGAGGTGAAACATCTTCAGTCCAGATGCTTTTCTTTCCAAGTTCTGTAGTGTTACTTCTTGGCATGAACCCATACTGCTGCTAACTGATATCACCTCTCTCCTTAACCTAGCTCCATGAACTACAACTGCATGTCTCCATGGGATCACTCATTAGCTTTATCCCTCTGTGAACTCCTGTTTTAACTTTGCGCATAATCTTGATAAATTGGAAGATACAATAGGATATCAGTGTGCGCAGGTTTCTCTAAGATATAATGATCGAGTTGAGAATTCAGTGAATTTTAGAGGGACAGGTGCTGGAACAGACTGAGGGATGGATGGCAGACACCTCACCATCACATAAGTTCATCTGGCCTTCAGCCGATGAGCTTTAGTTATTATTGTGCATCCACAGGTATAAATATCAATTCCATGATGATTCAGATGTGTAACACCTGTGCTTCTAATGTGACAAGGAAAATAAATCTGCTGGGAAGAATTTCAACTTGAGCAATGTGAGTTGTTTATTTTTAGCAATTCTTTGTAAGTGATTCTGAAGTTTTATACCTGAAAGGAGCCCAGTCCCAGCTCGATGTAGAGTCTGGCTGCTACTCCAGTGTTCTCAGGCAGGAAGGCAAATACAGTGTAGTGCATCCCAAACAGAGGAATCAGGAACAGGGTGGATTTTGCCAGCCTCCTGAGTGAAGCAAAAAGAAAGGAAAAAAGAAACCCTAAAAATAAGTCCAGATAATGATGTAACACTTTGAAAGATTACAGTGTGTTACCAGTATGGTCAGCGACTTTCAGTCATGTCAGAGGTACACGTTTCAAATGTCAGACAGACTAAATGTGTCATTCATGTTTCATCAAAGCTACAATGGTGGTGTCAGATTTTCATTACACTGACCTTTAAAACAACATCGTCATCAGGCCAATCAGTGGAAAAGATTAAAATGTCAAAACACAAAACCTGAACACATTGTGCTTAGTTCAGCTCATATCACTGATGTCTAAATATCATGTAAATGTTGCCATTTAATTTCTTATGACATTTTGTTGAAACGGTTTCCCGCAAGTAATGCGGTTTGAAAAGAGCAACTCAACATCTGCTTCATCATCAAAAGACACTGAGATAAGTATCATGTTTATGCTCTTCATCATTTACTTTTCTGTATATCCTATTGAGACTGGAAAACCTAGCTGGGTACAGATCCACTCACAAGAGTATCCAATCCATCAGAGATCAACAGACAGTTGTTATCCTAACAACTGACATGTGTGTGTGTTTTATTCTCATTTTAGTTTCCTCAGTGACACTCTCACATGTATGAGGATGTTGCAGTATATGTTTTAGTTATCTAGATAGTCAGATTAAACCATAAAATAGCTCTAATCAGAAATATTATCACAGCTTCAACTGCTTAAAGATTAAAGATGGAGGGGAGCTATCAGCTTATTTCAGGTGAATAATTTGTGCCTTTGTGTGAACGCCAAGGTTCCTCCTGAATCAAATTTAAGTTCCTACGACAGGCGGGGCTTTTAATCCTGTGAAACATTCATTGAACCGGTGGAACAATCCTGTCGCACGTCAAAGTAGGTAACATCTATTTCTGGAATCTGGAGCTATTTTTATATGCTCTCATTCTAAATTAATTCAGCTGAGCACAAATGTGCACTAGCCAGATGTCAAGAGAAAGAAGGATTCTTTCAGGTGAAGCAGGGTTTCACTGCTGCTGCAGTAGATTCATGTATGCATATATTATATTAAAGTGTAAGAAGCCGTTCAAACTTTTGTCAAGTGATTTAAACAGCTTCTCTTCTTACATACTACTGCCTCAGTTAGCAGTTTCCACTTAACACCCAGCAAAAGGTTTACATGTTAAAATTAATTACTTTTTATCCAACTGCATTATAGAGAGTTTAGTGCAAGAAAATGATTTAAAGCTCAGCTTTATCAATGCTGAACCACTTTTCTCTGCATATGATGTTTTTAACTCACATCTGAGCTATAGGTTGTATCATATAAAAAAAAAGTATGAACAAACATAATGGCTTCCCATAAGTGAAGCCCAAAATTATCTCATTTATCCACTTGTTGGTGTTAGACACTCGTAGCGTTGATCTTCAGTGATGGTACAGTTCTACTAATAGCAAGTGAGCAAGTCATGGAGTTCTTGGGATGTATCATTGCAAGTCAGGGCGGAAAGAATTATGATATTGTGAGACATTTTTATTTCTGGGATTTCACATTGCCGATGGATCTATTTTAACCAACATCATATTTTTCTCCCTTAAAACTTACCAAGGGCGTAGATCATCTTGCATGGCCACTATGGTGAGGTGAGGCCGCTACCTCACCTGACTTATAAAAGTTATTATGTCATTAGCCGGTCTTGTTTTTATCATGTATTTTTTGCAAAATTCTGACCGTACCATCTGTTGCAACAGAAATTCAGACTCAGACAAGGCAAGTCTGCTTCTTCTTCTTCAAATTATTTTCAGCCAGAGAACTGATGCTCACTGGAACTTTTCTTTTTATCTGACCACACTCTGTAAACCCTAGAGTTAGTTGTGTGGGCAAATCCCAGCAAATCAGCAGTTTAGGTAACAGTCAGATCAGTCTGTCTGATACCAACAACCATGCCACTTTCAAGGTCACCTAAATCCCCTTTCTTCCTCATTCTGCTTGATTTGAAATTCAGCAGGTCGTCTTGACCAAATCTAGATCCCTACATGTATTGAGTTTCTGAGCGATTGGATAAATTGGATAAAACCAGATTTTAACCCTTCCAATAGTTGAGACATTTCAGTAAGTTATACGACTTTCATCCACGTGAGAGAACAAGATTAAACGTTGGTGAAAAGTGAAAAAGGATTAGTCTTCTGGGGACAATATATGTCTGTAAAAATGTAATACGCAACATTTACAGTTGTTTCTAAATATTTGTGTGAATTTGGTTTGATTTATTCAAACCTATGCTTGTGATGTGCTGGCTCGCATCCAGGCTTCAAAGAAAGACGGTGAAAGTTGCAAACTCACAGAGCATATCCAATCCAAAAAAGAAAAAAAAAAACTTGAAAGAGATTGGATCAGAGAGGGGAAGTGTGGCTTTGATCTTATTTTTCAGTCAAGACATTTCTTATAAGTACAAATGTAATCTGTAAGAAATCAAATTTCATTCTTGTACAGTGTTTAAATTTTAAACTTACAGATTATTAAAATGATGGTTTATCAAAATAGCACTAAGATTAAATTCAGCACCCTATGTAAGATGTATATAGATGGATATCGAAACTAATTTATCTGACAGGTTATTCGTTCTTCATCCTTTCCTGACATCACACAAGACACACTGGGGTAAGTTCAGAGCTCTTTAGAGTGCTGCATTAGCTGATTGGTGCAACCTACTTCTTTTCTTCCTCACAATCAGAAATCTGTTCATCAGCTGTAAGGTTTCCTGCTGAGATGTATTATCAAATCTCATTTTCACTAGATAAAACAGCCTTCCACAGTCGCTGAGCAGTCCATCCTCACAGACTCCTCTTACCTTACTGCTGCCCTAAAGGTTTTTGGTTTTCATATAAATTTACTACTTTACAGCTTCTATTAAAGAGCAGCACGCTTTTTATCAAATCAAAGCTATTATATGTCACATCAATAACTTGTGACTAGAGTGATCATATGTCCCATTTTACGAGGGGCATATGTTGAGACAATGTTCAGCATTTTGATTGGTTCCTTACATCTCATAAATCAACACTGAGTAACACTTTTCAAAGTCTGGCTCTTATCCAATAAGAGAAAGAAGAAGAGGCCGTCTCATTGGGGGCTCCTTATGATGTCAATCATAATCATATAATTGGTTCTTATATAGCACTTTTCTACTCTGCCTGAGCACTCAAAGTTCTTTATACAACTTGCCTCATTCACCCATTTACTTTTTTCTGTGTTTAAGTGCTTTTTATCTAACATTCGCACACATCCACACTCCGATGGGCCCACTGGAGAGGAACTTGGGGTTAATATCTTGCCCAAGGATATTTAGCATGCAGACTGGAGCAGCCAGGGATCAAACCACCAACCTTCTGATCAGTAGGTGACAAACTATCTAGTTACCTAGCTACAGTCAGGAGGTATAGCATTTGAACTCTGAACCAAAGAAAATGAATGGAAAGATAAAAGTGGCTGAAATAACTAGCATTTACCACACTGTGCTGCAAACCCAATCACGAAGTTCAATAGACTGTTGCAGTAAACTAGCACCAGTCATTTTTTCAGAGTCAGATGAAAATTTCCTGCTTTTCAAACAGGTGCTTTCAGGGTGTTAGGGTGCACGTCCTGTGTGGGTTTGTATGCTGTTGTTGCCATGATGAACAAACAGAACAGGTGTTTTTGAGTGTTTTTTTCCTCTGGAAAAGTTTTCATTTGTATTAATGTGATTTGACCTATTTTGTTTTTTTTGTCTTGTGAATTTTATGCACCTTACTGAGATTAGGAGGGTGGCCTGCAGGACGCAAATGCATACTGACTTTTCAGAATATTGCTGTCCTTCAGTTAATAGGCAGTAGTGGAGCAACTTGTTGATGCAGTTTTTTCTCTGTTTTTTGTATTGTAAGAATGAGGGACTGTTCTTCTATTAATTTTGACCAAAAGAGGGAATACACAAGTGCAGACAGCCACATGTAAACAGTTCAACTAAATCTGGATCTGTTGCATGATATTTTTAAAAACCAGCTATAACAAAATTTTGCACTAGCACAACATTGTACATTGTGTCCCACATTTTCCCACAGAGATAATCTCTCCTCAAGACTCACATAAAGTGTCCAGTGTCATTGTTCCCAGTCATAGCAGAAGATTTAAGCTTTTCAACCAGAATCCGGATGACGTTGACGAAGATGACTATGTTGATCTGGAAGAGAAACATGCACAGTGGCCCAAATGGCAAAATCAGATACACACTAGTTAAAACACATTCAGTGTTATCTCAGGGGAATGAAAAATTTAAAAATCCTGTATCATCACAGGATAAAGGTGATTACTATTGAACTCGAGACAAATCAAAGTGAACCACAATGTGTCACTGCAAACGAGAACATTCACTCCGCTGATGGGCCAAATGTGTCTGAGGCAAGAAAAGTAAATACAGGAAAAAGATACTATGTTCTGGACTAGTTGATTACGTGGAAAATTAATGTGTTTATCATATTTATCACAGTAATATTTCAGGACTCTGAATGTATACAGAACTCTGTTGCATCTCATAATGCAAAACGTAAAGAGTGCAGGAAGGCTTTTAGCTCAATCTTGCAGCGCACACCAGGAAATTGGGTCGGCTCGAGGTTGGATCAGATCCTCACTATAAACCACTCTGGAGTTTGTCTGGAAGTGGACCGAGTCCAGAAAAAATACAGGTGAGTAAACAACCTCGGTTAACTGAAATATTACCATGGCTGCCAGAGATGTTCATTTCTACCAACTCACTGAAGTAAAGTTATCTTAATTAACTAGTTAAACTTGTGCCAGGAACAAATGTGATTTGCAAGAAAACTTCTGCCAACGTCTGTCTCTCAGTATTTTGGCAAATATTTATTAACCTTTAGCTTTGACAAAAGAAAATCTGACATCAAAGGATTTAAAAGACAAAACCACCAATACATGTTTCTTAACAAGCTCCTAAATTTTTAAAACATTGCTGGTAAATTATTTAATATTTCATGATCACTGCCCGAAGGGTCACAAACTTGCACTTCCTCTGCCTGAAGAATCCCACTTTAGTGTAAAACTTCCTCATAAAAATTTAATTGTAAATCTGCCACCACAAAACAAAAAACTAGACAGGCACGGCAGGTTTATCAGGTACTTGGTGTTTAACTCCTATACTCACCAGCAGTGAGGCTGTTATTGGTCCCTTAATAATCCACCAGATGCCAACATTGTCTGTGTCATCCCAGCAACTGTAAAGCCAAATGTAATGTCAGTGCAATACTAAACCTACAAAAATAGATATAATAGTTATCATGGACTGGCAAGCTGCTTTAAATAAAATGCAGAAATATGAAACTAACAACAGTAAAAACATACCCTCTGTCATCATAGAAGAATCTGGTCAAAACCCACAGTATGAGAACTGTAGATGGGAGCCCTATAATGTAAGGGCAGGAATTAATTATGCATGCTCTGTTTACCTGTCAAGTAAAATCAATCCGAACGTTGCTCCAGACCAAACGCATCTGTTTGCTGCATTATTTTTATGGGAATGTTGACAAGCATAGAAAATATTAAGTTGACTCTGTGTATAATTTTTTTCCATGCTACTTGCATCTGTTACATGCCAAAAAAAAAAAGGAGTACACAGAGAATAAAAGCAGGAGACATGAGAGAGCAGGATAGTAAAGCCGGAAAGAAGCTGATAAGACGCATCAGAGCCACCGTGGTTACAGTCTGAGCACCACTCGTGTGCACACACGTAAACACACCTCAGGTGCTTTGTGTAAAAACATTCAGGACAAAAATATTTACATATCTTCACATAGTCATCTGTGTAGTTTCATATTTTTGTAAGCATTATTATGGCTGTTATTGTTGTAACTTTGTATAGGGAATATCACAAGCAATCTATCACCAACCCAACATCTGTTGTCCAGGTATAAAATGTGATAATTTGGGGGAACAGCCGAATTTATTAAGTAATCATCCTTTTATCAACAGCTGAAACTGCTGTGCATTAATTCTTGGGTGAAAATAAGGCGAATAAGGAAATCCTGGGTTTTCAGTAATAGCGGTTCTGTTTTTTCTTTTTCTTACCAGGTTACATCGCCATGGTAACTTGTGGGTCATGTTCAACATTAGACAGGTGAAATCACTGCCTATAGATTAATCGACTATGCAGAAGACCGTGTAAACATTCCCAGAACATGTCTCAGATAGTAAAATGATCTAAAGTCTTTGTGTTTCCTAAATTTTAATAAATGTATTCCTTAATGATAAACGGGTGATATTAATAAGGCTTACACAGTCTGCATTTTTGCCAGCTGGCTCAAGAGAGCTTAAAGTGCACACAGCATGTTTGATACTGCACTACTGTACAGTGCTCCTCCACTCACACGGCTCAGGAGCTGAACTGGTTGCACTCCATTGCTTTCAGACTGTATTATGTGCCTAATCAGTTTTTTCTAATAGCATAGTTTGATTTTCCTTGGTAAGAATCAGTCACTCTGCTCTCTGTAAACCTTTAACATTACTGAGTGGTCAGATGCCTCCATTTCCGCCTCTTCTTGGGAACCACCCTTGCAGCTAGATTGGGAAGCTGTGGACTAACTTATTGAAATTATAACCACCTTTGTGTGACTGATTAGGCTGATTGCTGATGTCTGGGTAAGAGAAGAGAGAGGGGAAAGATATCCTGAGTATGTTGTACCTGCTTTGAAGCACAGCCCCAGGAAGCATCCACAATTGTAATTATGACTAATCTCACAATTAAGAGATCTTCTCCAAAAGGTTAAGGAGGTTGTTAATCAGAGATAAGCTACCTGGTTTAACTTATGCTATTTTATTAATAATGACATTTAATATTGTCTCATGCCTATGAATTCAGTGCTATTCCATTTTTAAAATTAGCAGTTCAGGCTTATAAAGCAGCGCTGCTGTGAACTGGAGCTGGAAAAATGATCACGGTTCAAGTGCAAGTTCCCAGACGAGATGTAGAATCAACTGATCTCCGGCAGGGATTGACAGCGGTGGAGGATTTCACTTTCCTCTCTTAACTTCCTGTCAAAGCAGCTGAGCAGCAGTTGCCAGCTACAGCATCCTGCTCAGCGTGACTCACTGTTTGCATGTGGAGCACCTTTAACAACAACCTACAACTGAGACAGCTTACAAGACCTGACGTGAAATCATAATAATGTCTGCCTGAATGCTGATGACCTACCTCTTCTTTTATTAAACTGGCGCGGCGTGCTTGTAGCCCTCAGGGTCAGATCCATTTATATCTTACCATAAATTCCATTCATCACCTTATCAGAAATATCCCTGCCACCGTGTGTGAATGCAGCATTGCACTGGCATGCAGTGGAGGATTTAAAAAGCCCACGTGGCATGAAAGGTTTTGCTTTGCCAGCTGGACATTGCCTAAAAGTTTCAGGTAAGTGTGTTGCTGTTTCTCACCTTCACTGCTGCACTTAACAAAAGTGTCTGCTTAGCCCTGTGTGGCTGGACTAAGCTGCTATATTTTGGTAACAGGAACATATAAGACAGACAGGAGCGGTGGAGCTTGAAATTACAGGCTTGAATAGGAAAATATGCAGCAGCATGAAACAAACAAAACAAAACAAAAAGACAGTGGGATGGGAATGGTAAGACAATGGAAAACACTTGGCTTAGGAACAAGGGATGAGAAAACATGGAAACCTCTCAAAACATCCATAGAAAGCTAAAAAAAAAAAAAAAAAAAAAAAAAAGACGGGAGAGAAAATAAAAGGGGGGGGCCGAAGAAAACAAGCGCTACACTCATCTTTAGGGCTGTGCTGCTGCCTAAATAAACTGCTACCAGGATTTTGGAGGCTCAGTTCTTGTGTAAAAATAGATTTCCAACCCAGATATGAAGATAATGTGTGATAATACTGACTTTAACCCCTTAACACCTAGTGCTTTATATTAGATACATGAGTTTTTGTAAGCGTTTGAGGCTTCTACATCATCAGTTTAAATTTTTCCCCTGACAATTCTAAATAAATTGTAAAATAAATGTCAAATTAATATTATGTTTTTGTCAAAAGGTCCAATACACTCTCTCACTTCAAAATTTATAATTTTCTGGGAATAGTTTTGGCTTTAAAGGGTTAATCCATTTAAGGCACTGAAAGGGGTTTTCATACTGTTCCCCTGTTATCTCATATTCTGGAGCTGAATATATTAAATTGAGCACATCGCAATGTGCAACTGATGGCACTTATTCTCCAGCAGCATCATTTACGAGAAACAGAAAAGCAACAAGACGCCTTGACTTTAAATCAGCAAAAGCCACGATGGAAACATTTGTTTGTTCTTGAAAATTATTCCTTTACCTACATTACTCTGATGTTTTAGAATAAAAAAAATCATGCATTTATTAAACTTTCAGTGGCTCTTAACACATTTTGCTTTTACACGTAAATAACAGTCAATTTATTTTTTATTTTTTACTTTTTCTTCATTAAGGAGTTAATGTGAGTGAATCTTTGACAGGTCCTTCAGGCATTTGCTGGCAAGACTGTAAAAGTCTGACATGTTTGCTGCAGGACCTTTAGCAGATGTGGCCGATGATGGTGTGACAGAAACAATGAGGAGTGAGACCTCAAGTGCGTGAAGTGAAGAACTTGCCATAAGCAGAATTAACAATTGGCTGGCTGCCTGGAGAGATGACGACAATTATTATGATGATGATGATTTGCCCTGGATCACACTACTCTGGACTTCAGAAAACCATTGAGAGCTTCTTTGAAATGGAGAAACCAAAAATATACAGCTAATGAAAAGTTCTTGATGTTTTACTGGCTATTTTTTTAACGTGTAGTTGTGTAAGCTTGTTAGTCAGTGTATAATATGAGCAGTACTGTGTGTGGAGGTCAAAGTGGCTTGCTAGCACTGGTTGAATATTTAATAGCGGCTAACATGCTAACTGCTGTGATTTCTCCGCTTACCAAAAAAATATCTTTTAATGATTATTTTAATCACTTTTACATCTTTTAATGGGCTCTGACATGTGATATTTTAACGGTTAGATGAGCTGGCTGTTGCTGTTTTGTATTTGTCAGGCTACATGATGATCAGCTAGTGTAGCTCTAGAAAAAACATGTAGGGAGGTACCTTTTGTGACTTGAGGCTTCAATGCCACTTTTACCTGAAAACACCGATTCAATTATTTATCAAGTATTTCCATTTTTTAGGTTCACAGACATCCTGTTTGTAAGGGTACAGTCTCTTCAAGTCGGAAAATATTGCTCATTCAAATCAATCATTTATAGTGTTTTTCTCACACACAGACAAATCCGGGATGTAGCGAGAAAACCAATCACTGTTTTAGGCTATGACCACAATTTTGCATTTTTACATTTTTAAAAGGTATGTATTACATTTTCCTCTTTCACTATCCTTCCTGAATACTGCTTATTGAACAGTTTTAGTTTTTTAAAGAGCACCACTAAATAGATAAAGTTTGTGAAGTGCCTTTTTTTTAACCAATCCCTCCCTGCCTATATAAAACATTTGTTTTTAAATGTTGCAATCCATTTAACAAGTTAACATCATACGGGTGTTAACAAAGGGTGTTTTCCCATATTATTCAATTGAATTTCAATGTATTTTGCACAGTGCAAGCTGTGGAAAAAAATTTTTGGATTTCTTTTAAATTACCCAAAGTTACACACTAGTAAAAATTACTTGCAGTGAAAATATTTTTTTCTTTCCTGTAAAAACTTTAGTTTGTACCCCTTTGTAGGTAAAACACAATGAAATCCCATTTAATTCTAGGAGAATTACACTTTTGTGTAATTAAAAATTAATCTGTATTAATTTGTGTAACACAATTATAGAGGCTGTGCTTTTGTACACAGAAACAAAGGAAAATTTGCCCATTTGACATGTCGGTGCAAATTGACAATATTCCAATGTGAGCAAAAACATCAAGTCATGGGACTTATAAACATATACAGACAAAGGACAAAGGTGTTAATTGACTGTTAAGGATAATAAACACACTTTTCAGTAGTCAAAACCACAAAACAAGGCAAAAGATTTGTTTGACTTTCTAAGCATATTTTCAGAAAAGCAAATTGTTTGTCTTTGCATCCACAACTGAGCTTATTTGTAACAAAAAATAAGTTTTTCTACCATATTTATAGCACCTCCCCTTTCAACTGAGCCTCTGTGTTCTATGGCCCTGTCTCTATTTCACCAATATTTGCTTTATCGCTAGAGCTGATCATGATTAACAAATGATTTTAGATAACCCTTTTGAATTTTAATCTGTTTGTGGGTCACATTTTATTCTGTTTTTTAGTGTTTGTGTTGGAGCTACAGTGTGTGATTGTTTTTGTAAAGACAAATTCAGTCACTCTTACTCACCCCATCCAATCAGGATATACCACCAGAAGTATTTCCTCTGTGAGACGAAGGTCAGAGCCAGCAGCGTCTGCAGATACATGCCCTCCACCAGCAGCCAGAAGTAATTGGCCAGGATGCTGAACTGGAAGAAAGCCACGGCTGACTTGCACGCTTTCTATAGAGAGGAAACAACAAAACAAAGTTAGAAAAACTGGATGTGTCATAATTTAACATAAAAATACATCTTTTTGTGTAATAAAAGGGAAGGTAGTGACAAAAGGATATTTGGTTCTTCTTCTACTTTTGCTATAACTTCAACTGAAGTCAATCAATTACAAAGAAATACAAAATAAGCACCAAGGAACTCAAACCAATTAAAAAAAAGACAAAAATAAAATACATAAAGAGTCACAAAATGACAATTTGAGAAGACTTGCAAAAGAAATTAAAATATATAAAACAATAAAAAAAGGAACACAAAAATTAGCAAAATCTAGAGATATAAACCAACAGGAAGATGTGCAGTACATAACCACGAAAACACACAAAAGTGTAAAACCAGCACCAAACAATAAGTGAACAAAGATAAACAAAAAAAACCCCACAAAGATACACAAGACAATAAAAACCAAAGATGACAAGAAAGCAATAAAAAACATGGACACAGAGACCAAAACATGCAATAAGGAACAAACACAAAGGCTGTTTTTTAAAATCAATTCATGAAAAAAGAAACAAACCTTTTCTCCAAATCCAACACACACATTTGCAAAAAAAAAAAAAAAAGCATATTCAGTACATTCTATATAAGGAGATCCTGATACAAAATATATACAGGACGGAAGTGTCTGTATTCCTGTTCACTCTATAACCTTCTGACTTCCAGCACATGAATGAATCATGCCACCTGCAGAAGTCGTCTAATGACACTGCAGTGGTTGGGTGTATTAGGGACAGGGCTGGAGTGAGAGGTGATGAAGAGCTATGTGTAGTTCTTTGGCAGAAAACCACCTCCTTCTGAAAGTCAGCCACTCAAAAGAGATAGTGGTTGATTTCCGGTGACTAAGCCCGGTAGCACAATGGGTGACTGAAGCAGTGGACGGCTACAGGTACTAGGGTATTCACATGAATGACAGATTGGACTCCAGTGTTTGAGGCAAAACGCCAAGACCAATTTTTAGCAGCAAGTGCTGCTGTCTGCTTGGAGGGGTGGCATCTGTGCCAGAGATGCCAGCAGGAACAACAAATTCATCAGTGGCCAGTATCTGGAGGCATTTGAGTCACAGAGGGAGAGGAGGGCACTGACAAACTATTGTCCATCATGGACACACCCACTCCATTTCACACTACAGACCCAACAGAGTTCCTTCTCCCTCAGACCCCACTAACATAAAGACCACTTCAGGAAATCATTCCTACCTTCTATCTATCTATCTATCTATCTATCTATCTATCTATCTATCTATCTATCTATCTATCTATCTATCTATCTATCTACTGTAGATTTAAAACTCCTTTTTCTCATTTTTCCCATATAAAAAAAAATCTTAAATTGTTGCTGAAAGATTTCATCAGTCTAATGAGAGTATTTCCCTCTCATCGTTTTGCCACATGTCTTCCCCTCCTCATTCTCTGTTTCCACTGTTAACTCAATCACACAGCATGTGGGAATCTATTTTGATGCAAACATCAATTAGAGCCCTCACCGTGGACATGGAGCAGTGGTCCAAGGTCTCATCAGCAAACAGCACGGTGTCTTTAATGAAGACGGCACTGGCTCTCAGGATGAAGGAGGCGAACAGGTTGATGTGGATGTAGTTTCTGGTGCAGCGGAACTTCCTGCGTAACAATAGCGTAAAGCATTCACTGCATGTAAATTAATATTTCATAAGGCGGAAGAAGAAGGTAAACAACTTCATGAATTTGCATGTGTAAGATGATTCATAATCCTCTGTACTACAAAGACTCTTTGAGGCTTTATCATCTGAATATATGCATATTTTCCTAAAATTATATGATGCTGTCCTAACCACACAAATCCTGAATGTGTCTGCATCATAGAAATTTCCCCTTTTATTGGCCTTTTGTGGGTGCAGATGGTGGTGTGTGCCGGTCTGGTCTAACCTGAAGGCTGCGAACACCACGATGGCTGTAATGAGGGAGATGAGTGACGTGGCGTAGCCTACAGTGTAAACCTGTCTGAAGGTATAAAGGTAACTCGTCTGGAGACAGGAAAACAGAGAAACCGTTAGTTTAGAAAAATATCAAAATAAAAGTCTGAAGCTGTGAGTCTGACTCAAATTGCTGCAACTTCAAGGGTTCTTTCTTTATAAGATTCATGAATGAATAATAATTTATTTAAGCTTTAGATAGAAAAAGCAGTAATTATGTTGAAAAAAATGTACTTTTAACTGTGTGGTTATTTAAATATACAAACAATTTCAGGACCTGTAATTTCCCTTGAGTTGTTTACATTTATTCCTGGAACAAAGGTCCTCACAGCTAACTACAAATAGGTCTGACATAAAAAGGAAACAGCGATAGAGGAAGTAGAAACAATATGTTCATCCTTCATTGACTGGCATGATTACAACCACATGTCCGTATACCTCCGACTCAGGCTCGCTGTCATCGCTGAACACGCAGGCCTCCTCATAGGGTGGATACATTTCCGACCAACCGTCAGCAGTACAGTTCCTGTAAACATACCCTAATGTGGGGAATCCAAAGAGAGAACGCAAGGAGACAATTAATTTCAAGTGTTTCAATCGCACAAATATATGAATGTTGTTCTTTTATTATTTTTTTTGCCCTTCCTGACACAACCCCAAAAGGATTGGTGTTTCCTTCCAGGAATAAACCGGAGATCTTTTTGTTTGCAAGGGGAATGTGCAAACCACTTGGAGCCACTTTTGCAGTCTCAAGAATGAAAGCAGCAATTTCAGTTCAGTTTATGGGTCACATAACCACTGCATGGGAACCTATAAATAACACCTTCAAATTGTTTCTTTCTTATAAAGACGTACAACTACCTGCTGAAAATGTTCACATGTAATACACCATGCATTTGCAAAACATGGTGATGAACACCCTGAGATCTCAACAATGTTTAGTCAGTCTCCTGACCATGAGCTTTCAACACGATGCTTGGGTGTTGGCTTGGCAGTGAAACTACTAAATGCCCTCTTTCTCTACAATTTTGGCACTTTTCAAATCCCTCCAGTGGGACAGTATGATGGGCTAGTTCTGGCCTACAGGCTGTTTGTTTGACAGCCTGGGTTTAGAAGCTCAGTGAAGCTGTTTTTGTTACACCAAGTGTCCTTTTCTGTCTTGGTTTTTAGTCTTTTTATACATTTTACAACACAACTGACTGACAATACCAGCTATTTTAAATCTACCTGAATGAAAATGTGTTATTCACGTCCCTTTTTGTTGTGAAATGCTGTTGAAATTACACCCTGCCTCCTTTGGTCAAGTTTAACTTTTAGGATTCTTGAAAAGTGAAGAAAAAAGTGTTGTATGAAACCTACTGAAACTATCTTTCAGGGCTAATAACTGCTACACCATTATCATCTTTTAATTTCTTTTTCTCCATTATATTTGAAGCGAATCCTCTACTCAGTCTATTGAAGCTCATTTTGGTCTCTTCCAACCTCTTTTGGAAATATCTGGTTCTTTATCTTCTAAAGTCTTCACTGTGCTTTCTTCTGTTTAGCACAAAGCAGCAGTTTACAGTGATTTTTGACTAATGACACCAAAAGCAACACTGTGAGATGGAACAGAAGCTGCTGGCTGGACAGTTAAACAATATGCAGAACCTCATCCACAAGCTCAGGGCAGCCTATTTTCTGCAGCAGTGTTTTCACATAAACATATCGAAGAGACACACTTTAAGTAAATGATATACTTCCCAGCAGCTGTGTAAAGGGGGGGAAAAAAAGAATATTTAGAAATTTGCAAAATGCTTGTGAAACCATGAGCTGATCAATTCCTTTATAATTAAATATTGAATCATAATTGCTTTACAAATCAATCAAATCAATTTTCCTGTAGACTCCTGGTGGAGCATAGAGCCTAGGGTCATTCTGGCGGCCTTCACTTCGCTCTCGACAGATCTTCTCCACATCTGTTTGGGTCTCCCCACTTTCCTTTTTCCTTGTGGGTTCCAGTCCAGTGCTTACTTTGTGACGTTGTCGATTGGTTTTCGAAGTGTGTGGCCTATCAGCCCCATTTTCTCTTCTTGATGTCTTGACCGACCGGGTTCTGTCTGGTTCTCTTCCACAGGTCTGTGTTCGAGATCTTCTCAGGCCATCTGATGTTGAGGATGTGTCAAAAGCACTTGTTGATGAAAAGCTTACCCGGCTCGCTGAGGAGGCAGAAAAGACTGGCCTGAAGATCAATGTCAGAAAAACAGAGGTGTTGCGGCTGAACAACCGACAAGAACATCCACTGCAGCTACAGGGAAAAGACTTGGTGGAAACGGACTGCTTCATCTACCTAGGAAGCATAGTCAACAGTGATGGTGGCGCAGATGAAGACGTTAGGAGCCAGATCAACAAAGCAAGGCTTGCATTCAACACCCTGTGACCCATCTGGAACTCCAAAGCCTTATGTCAGCGCATCTTCAACACTAATGTGAAAGCAGTCCTCCTGTATGGGTCCGAGATGTGGCGGGTGACAAACACCACTACCAGCAAGATCCAGATTTTCATCAACAATTGCTTTACACGCCTTGTTTTAACCTACAAGCTTTAAGTCATCATTCCAGTACACTTGCACCAGTATTTCCTCTCTGAGACTATTTTGGTCCATTGTGCTTTGAGTCAAAAAACGTTTTATTCTTTTATGTCCACTGACGTTTTAGTTAAAGTTCATTTGGATACAGCAGGTGACAGGAGAAAGTCATCTGGTATTTGTGGGACTGTGTATCTTTGCCAGAGATAGCACATAGGTAATAGCAGAATTGCTGTTTAGCAGAACAAAGATGCATAAAAATACATGACAGGAGGATTTTTTTCTTTGTTCGTTATTTCCTCTGAGCAAACAGAAACTGACTGGAGTCCAAATGCTGCAAACTGTGCAGCTGAAAGCAAAGCCTCTTGTTTGTTTGGGTGATCAGCAATTCAGATTATAATGAGCCGTTATTTCCATCAAGGTAAAGGAGGAAAGAGCATTACTCGTTAATTAATGTGGCTTTCCCTCCTCTAATGATCTTGTAACAATACAACAGTGCACAGACCAATATTTCTGTCTGTGTGCATCATTTTAAACGTTTACTTGTTGTCCTATAAGGACCAGTTTAATAGTCGCAAAACATGTAATTGTTTTAACCAAAGAAAAAGCTAATAAAAATCTTAATGTGGATACATGTGCATTATTTACACACATATGTGTAAATATAAAAATTGCTAAATGCAACAGCTCGTTATAAAGAAAGAATTTATTTCTGATGGTGTCACAAGGACTTTCTTTGAGGAGACAGCAGCCGAAAAGGATGTCAAATTGTGATGAATGAACCCTGCAGACAAGATTTCAAACCACTTCTGCCAAAAACATCCTAGAGCATAATATATATATATATGTGTGTGTGTGTGTGTGTGTGTGTGTGTGTGTATTCTTGCCAACAAACATACATGAATACATGCTATGATTCTCCAGCAGTGACTCCAGCCTGCATTAGCTCTGCTGATTATCCAGTGAAGATAATTAGACTTAGTACTGGTGCGACAGCACAGCATCCAAGAATCGGATTTTTACATTATATTATTTTAACAATGCTGGTGATCAGATTATTTGGCTATGAGGATCTGTGCTGTTCTGTGTTCACTGAGGCTGGTGCAGGAACCAACCTTGATTGCTGGAGAAATGCTGGAAGACCTCAGAGCAGGATAAATTGACCACCTGCCCAACCTCAGCTCGCAGCCAGCACCCGATCTCATCCCACTCTGTTTTACATCCTGTAAACAGAGACAGAGGGAGAAGCAGCAGAAAGTTATTAATAACACTGTCACAATACTGACAGTAAAGACACTCAGATGCTCAAGATTTAGTGCAAAATCCAGCTGCAAAGCTGAACATCTCTTTTGTCAAGCTTTAGTGAGAATAACTCTACTTCCACAAACCGCATCCTAAAGGTTAAGTTCACTAAATTTATTCAAACATTTACAGCTTTACTTAGTGGCTTTCCCAATTGCAATTTTTACAAAATGTACAGTACTGTTCAAAAGTCTTAAGCTACCCCTCATATGTTACAAATGGGAAATAGGTGCAGCCTTGCTTATATTGTAAGGTGAAGATCCCAACAATCAGTCAGCCCCCTATGAACAAGCACAAGCGTCAATGGGAAGGAAAAACTCCCTTTTAACAAGAAGAAACCAGCAGAACCAGCCTCAGGGAGGGGCAGTTTTATCAAGTTTATAAAGTTTTATGAAAAAAGAAAAGTTTTAAGTCTAATCTTAAATGAAATGTGGCTTGAGATTTGTATAACTAAACTATTAAAACACGACTATTCTGAATGTTACTTGAGTATATTTTCAATGCTGGACTTTTAATTAATTAGCTTCAGCTGATTAGCTCTGCCAATCTGTCACACCAATCCGGAAAAATGGCAACGAATCATTATTCCATTCTCTCTCGTCTTCAGAGCTCAGACTGTGAAACAGAAAGCAAACTTTGTTTTGAGTCTGAAAACCTTCTCGTGTTTTCTGATAGTGTGTGTGTGAGTGTGTGTATGTTTGTGTGTTTAGTCCCCATTGCTGCATTTGATCACAAATACCTCCACAACTATTAAACTGACATTACAGTTTGTTTCAGACATTTTTGTGCCATTCAGGATGATTCGCAATTACTGTGATGATCCCCTCGCCATCAAGCACAATCATTATGTTTCAAAGTTATTGTCATATGCACAGCAGAGAAACATGTTTCCCTGTACAATGAAATGTATCCTTTACTGTCAACAACAGATGTCAAACAGAAAAATCCACATATAAAATAGATAAGTAAAAGAAATAATCATTTAAAAACATTTTTTTGAGAAATACAGTAGAAATACTAGATATGTAAATAATATATTTACATTTGAAAAAAGAATCTGAGCTCCAATAAGCTATGTAGATATTACCCTATATGCTACATCAGTGTCTGTATTATCTCTGTTATAGTACCAACATTATCTGGTGTCTTTATGTGCACCACGAAGGAAAAATGAGATCTAATGCTTTTCAGTCGTCCGTCAACAGCCTCAGCATCTCGCATGTTTATGAAAGACTGAGTACATTTCAAAAAGCCCTGAACTCCAGCAATGTTATGAAGAGTTCCCTGCAGCGTGACATACATCCTGCTGTTTTATTTATGAAGAATGGAGCAGATGCATTTAAACCTCAGGCCTTCATGTGCAAACACAGTACATTCAGGTGACCTGATTGCCAAGTCACATATTCACTCTCGTATAATTACAATTGGGTATTTATATTAATCCTGACCTAATAAATCCAAAGTGATGCATAACACCAGCTGACAAGTCCCGTCCACAGTCTTGTAGCTGTGATTGGCCCACATTAAAAGCTTTCACTTTTTTTTTCATCAACTACATTCTATATAAACCGCGGATTACTCACCGGTGTTTAATGGACTAATTCATTTTTCACTGAGTTGACAGATTTGACAGGAGACAAGTGGATGATTGGACGGAGTAGCTTGTCTGATCAATTTTAATTGTGCTGATAAACGGAGCGTGTACTGCACCAAATATCTGCAGTAATCTCAGTGCACCGTGGATAAATGTCAACAGCAGTGATGAATTAAAAAGGCAATGTTCAGTTTTTTTTTTTCATTTACCCCAAAGGCTGAGGTGAGATCAAAATAAATGTCAAATACATTTTAAGAAGGAAATCTCTTCTCTGAAAAAAAGAAAAAAGTATCAAATCCTCAGACACCATAAACTTCGAGGAACATAAAACAGTTTCGGAGGCTAGAGTGATGTCTGAGTAAAACATAAACACAGCCCGCCTGCATTTGAAATGGAGATTACTGCTCTGCACTCGGCAGGATGTTGGTGAGGCAAATTTTGTCCTAGTGCTGCCATTCATTTGATTGTGTTTGTGACCCTTAATGTAATAACTACTTTCCTAACTGGTGACTGACAAAGGGAAAAGTGTACCAGAGGCTGTATGTAACAAAATAAGTCACTTAAGATATAATTTTTTATTGCCAAATCTCCATGGTGCTCTACTTTCTCAAATCTGGTGACTCATTTCAGTGAGCTTGTTCAGTTTGGGGTTTCATGTTCTTTCCTAGAATTGCACTTTATGATAACCTAGATATATAAAAAGTAATATAGCACATGATGTAGGTCCAGTGGCCTTAAGATACCATTTGAGGCGCAGACGGATTGACCTTATGTCCACTAGTGATGTTTTTGTGCAACTCACTGAGTGGGTCCTTCACAATAATACCTTTTCAGGACAAACTAAGTCAGAAAAAGATGACAGCTATGGATGCACGTTTTCCATCTACTGTACATATCTGTTATTAGGAAAATGGCAGAAACTTAACATTTTTCCAAACAAAAAAACTGTGCGGTGCAGAAGACACACCGATGATATGTTGTATGTTCGCACAGATATAAATCTCAGGTGTTCACACTGGCTCATAACAAAGTTTTATAACTCGAGAGAAGCAAATTGATCAGCTCTAAACCAAAGCAAGAGCAAGCTCATAAACCTTACTTTGCCGCATGCTACAGCATCAAAAAGATTAGAAAGAAAAAAATGGGAAACTGCTGAGAGTAATAATACTTTATGAGAGATTTTTACTGAACTCCCAGGAATCCGCTTCAGAAGCACGACAACAATCAAGGACAAACTAGTCTGGAGGTCTCTTTCTGCTCCAAACCAGAAAATTGGAAGTTGTTGTTGTGGTAATTGCAATTAATGTGAGAACCTGATGAAAACTGACAATTTTAAAGATGTGTTTATTATTAAAATCTGCCTTAGCACCAGTTTACAAACTGCTGATTAGTTTATTCTTAGTTTGTTCCCAGAGTCTCTCAGTTCTCCCTGGATGACTCCATCAGGGTTTGTTTTGTGCCTGTTTGTTTTTCTTAGTGTCCATGGGCGGGACCCATTTAAAAACACGGTAAAAAACAAAAAGATTATCCAAAATCAGGTCATTTAAAATGGTACAATAAGACTCTAGTCTAGTAGTTTATGTCATGGTCCGTGGGAGCAGTATCTGGGGAGTGTTCGTGTTGCCTCAGTGGCCACGCCCTCGGGTTGGACCATCAGCATCACACCTGTATTCCATCCCAGGCAGCAGGGCTATTTCACCCAGTGCGGACGGCTGATCCACCCCAGTCCGTTAGTCACTCTTGGTAATAACTTGGTTCTCCTAAGCTCTGAGTTTATTCAGGCATTTTGTTACCTGTGTTAATATTACGCCCTCCTGCCTGTTCTGCATGCGAGAGAACTCCCTCAGTCTCCATCTTTCCCTGCTAGGATTTTCCCACGGACACCCTCCCCTCCGAGCCCCACGGTCTGACTCTGATTGTAAGCCGCAGCATTCTAATTCTTGTTTAGTTTTGACTCTCCGTTCTCCTGCACCCGAGTAATTGTTTCCCCTTTCTGTTGCATCTTCCCCCGATCACGGCTTCCCAGGGCATTTCAATTCCCGGTTTCTTCAGCTTGAGTTATATTCTCGTTCCCTTGGTTGTTCCTGGACATTTATGTTAAAGAAATAAATCTGTACATAGTTCCCGTGAATTTTGTATTGAGTTTGCCTTTGGGTCCCATCTGTACGTGTAAACCTTGGTTCCTGACAGTTAAATCCATTTAAAATATTTCTCTAGCTGGGCCTGCGTCCCCATTTTAGCGTTTTTTAGTAGATAAAGGCGAATGGCTTAAACATGAAATGAGCTGCGGTTTGGGGAAGTCCTCTGAGGGGACTTGCGGCAGCTCCAGGGCCTGGCAGATCCCCATGTACTAATGAGAAGTGAAAGAACTGAAAAACAGAGGGTGGGGCATGAAAACGAGAACGAAGAGCTTGTAGAACTGAGTGGTCATATATAGATGAGAACCGGAAGGGGCGTGGTCAGAGGCGTGGTCACGCTCCTGAAATTCAGATAATTTATCTCCAAGTAAACTTTTCCTTATTTTCCCCACCTTTGTGATTTCAGGTAACAAGCAGGCAGAAACAGTAAGGCAGCCTGTGGGATTACATCAGAGAACAGATGAGAAAAAAGAAACCAGTGTATGATAGAAAGCTACTGAATCATGTAAAAGTGACAAAGGGCAGCAAAGATGTCTGTAGAGAAACTGATGAAGCTAATGAGATTTCTACACATACAGAAACAATCGCTTGTTTCTAAAGGTTATTATGTATCAATAGAAACATATTTTTACCTATTACAAGAGCAGAACTTATTATGCTCATTAAAGTAGCATTACAAATTATCCTGTTGACTAGACAACATCAATATCCTTTTTCTCCCTCCTGCCTTATCTCCCCCCTTCTTCCTCCCTGTCCTCCTCCATATGTCCCTTCATCCCTCACTCTCTTCATCTTATTCTTTATCTACTCATTGTGTTCTTAATGTTAATGTTGCTCATTTTTAAAAACATTTGTGCATATTTATTGCATTTTGCTTGATGGTTGTGTGATTTCTGCTGACTGTACAACACATTGCCCTTTAAGGACAAAGATTTCCTTCATCCTTGACCCCCTACCTTTCTCATTCTTCTCAAGTTTCCTTTCTCGCTTCTTCTTATCTCCCTCCCTCCCTTCCTCTTTCCTTCCCTTCCCCCCTCATCTTTTTCTACAGTTCTTCACTTGATGTCTTCCTACCTATCTCCCTCCCTGTTCAACCCTATCTCTCTCCATCCTCTTTCCCTTAATTTTCTTCCATCTACTTCCCTCTCAGTCTTCTTCCCTATCTTCCTCACTGCCTTTCTACCCCCAT